AGCAGGCTACCTGCTCCGGTGGGGTTGGAGGAGGAGAGTGAAAGGACCCAGACTCATGTCAAAATGTCATCCTAGCACAAATGAACTGAATCTCTGGAGCTTAAAGGTAGGCTCCCCAGAGGGGTGAGAGAACCTTCAGATGTAGGCCATGCTGTCCTGGGATTGGGTCTGTTTCAAAGCTGAGTCCAGGTTTACCGAGGGACACATAGATTATGACGACATAAACCACGGCAGAGTAACAACAATAGCAAATAAGAAGAATGACATTTATTGAGCACCTATTCTGTGCCAAGCATCGAGCTGGTATTTATATATAGCATCTCTGACTCCAGAATCTGGTCTCTTTCTCAAAGCCATGTTACTTCTCTCGTAAAATAAGGTCTTACTCACCACAAGTCCAGTCAACAACAGCATATGCCACTGGGTGCTCTGTTCTGGGGAGCAGGGAGAAGATGGCAAGAGGGAATTCCAGGCCAGTCTAAGTGACAACCTGGGGTTACCTGAACCCACACCCTACTGTCTTCCAGAAACTCTTCAGCTTGCCAAGTTAGGATTACAAATGCAAAGATTGGTCCATTGGCCAAGTACCGTCAGAATCTACCCTGGTGGAGGTAAAGCTGTCCTAGATCTTTCTGTCTTTGAATTGGCATGGCTGGGATCTTCAATTTGGCAGGAAGACTTACTGCCCTTTGAGATGTAAGCCAGCTTCCACTTATTTCGTGTGTGTACATTTTATCATTTTTCAAATTGCAAGTTACCCGAGGGCTTCTGCGGCTCTTCCACTTGTAGTAGTATTGATACCAGCTGACATTTGCTGAGCACTTCCTATGTGCCAGGCGCTGTTCTAAGTGTCTCACGTGGATGAAATCATGTCAGCCTCTCAACAACCCTGTTTTTATTGCCATTTTGCAGATAGGGAATCTGAGGCCCATAGAGGGTAAACAACTTGCTCAAGGTCATGCAATTATCAATGACAGAGCTGGGCTATGAACTTGTGCTTCTTAATCACTCCCCCTTTGGCTTCTAGGAGCCTCCTTAGAAATTCGGGAAGTGAGTGGTATGTTTCAGTTTATGCTCATGGCATGGAAAGTTTAACACTTGCGGGAGGGCATCAAGGCATGGTTGAGGGGACAGGGAGCACTGTAGTATATGAGGCTAAACATTAGACATGAAGCCAGAAGCCCTTGGGTTCAATTCTCCACTATGCTGCCTACCAGCCTTGGACCTTGGGCAAGTCACAAACTTTCTGAGCCTCATTTTTCTCACCTGTCAAATGGGATTAAGATGCTCTGTCTCAGGGGGTTGTTGTGTGCTCATGAATATCAAAATGGTTTCTACCTAATTTAAGGTAGTGGCATGATCATGATTGTTATCTTTAGGACTAAAAGATGGAGATGGTGAGGAATGATGTAAGAATAAGAGAGGTAGGGGCTACCCGGGCCTGCTAATAGGATGCTCATTCACTTGCTCTCTCCCAGCTCCCTGATATTGGTACCACTAATGCCTGGTGCCCACTCAGCCTGTGCCCTGGACTCAGAGCCCATCTCTCTGATTGTATCAGTCAGGATGCCGAGCTGCAAACAACAGCTACTCTAAGCTGGAAAGGAATTTATTAAAGGGAATAATGAATATTAGGTGGTACTTTGGGGAGGAAGAGAGAGCTGAGAATAATGATCAGTCACACTGCCAGAGTGTCTATCTTCTATAACTGGGCACCAAAACCTCCACCACGCATGCGCATGTGCGCGCGCGCACACGCACACGCGCGCGCGCGCGCACACACACAAAGAGTGGTCATTCTTTGTGCATTCAAGGAGCACTCTTTTGTCACGGGAATGAAGACCCCATTGGGAACACTCTACAGGAGACTGACAATTACAGGTGCACTGGAGGCAGTGGGACAGTGAGGAAAAGCCTCTCGGATGCCAGGAGATCTGAGTGGGAAACATGTGCTCATTGTGTTCCCTGGGGAAGGTGGGGCCTCAGAGGGATGAGTTGTGTGATGCCCTTGGGCATCAGTGTCCAGGGCCCAGGTTGGCACGACTCTCCCCAGGCTGTCTTGGTATGAAAGGACCGCCTGTCTGATTTTACTGGCTAAAAGAAAGGGACTAGGGCCATGAGCAAGACCAAGGTATCAAAGGTAAACTGAAGGCCAGAGCCCTCAGAAATGTTTCCAACTGGGGAATTCAAGGCTCAACTCGGAACTGAGTTACCTGGCTCAGAGTGATAAGGGACTGGGACGTGCATTCATGTGCTGGGGCCACCATAACAAAATTCCACGAACCGAGTGGCTTAGACAACACAAATTTATTGTCTCCCAGGTCTGGAGACTGGAAGTCGGAGATCAAGATGCCAGTAAGGCCGTGTTCCCTCCAAAGGCATTAGGGAAGGATCTGTTCCAGGCCTTGCTCCCACGTTCTGGTAGCTTCTGGGCTTGGGGCAGCATCACTCCAATCTTCACATGTTGTTTTCCCCGAGTATGTCTGTGCCCATATTTCCCCTTTTTATAAGGACACCATTCATTCTGGGAAAGGAGCCCACTCCACCCAGGATGGGTTGAGCTGAGACCCAGGTAAGGGCAGGGCTGGGAGAGGGTAAATAACATGCCCAAGGTCATAGGGTTAAGCCTCTTCCCCAGACGGAACCCCTGGTGCCCATCACCCTGTCCCCCTCCCCAGGAGTTGATTTCTCTCTCCTGAGCCTGGCCTGGCCGCTTTCACCCTCCCCTGCCCTCAGCTCCATCCTGGGTTCTCCCCAGACACCCTCCTATGTTCTGAGGATTTAGGGTTGTGGCTTCAACAGGTATTATCGAGGGCCTGTTATAGACATGGCATTATGCTAGGTGCCCAGTTTCAGCGAGACCCCAAAGGGTCAAATAGGGCTCTGGTCTTTCATTCCAAAGACCTTTGCCCTTGGAAAAGAGGACATGACCTCAGGGTCCGGAGAGGTGGAGAAGGCGTGTGAAAACTGAGCCACAGAAGCTTAGTGCTGGATAGAACTCTGGAACACTTTTTCCCCAGACCCCGCTGGCTACGATGGGGAAACCCAGGCCCAGGGAGGGGAGGTAACGTGCCAAGGTCAAACGTTGGGTGGTGCCTGGTGGTAGAAGCTGGACATCTGGGGCTGTATTCGGACTGAAGGGACAGGTGGTGGGTGCTTCCCCGGGTCTGTGAGCTCAGTTCCCAAGGCTGGCGGGGCTGGCGTCTGTGGAGGGGTCGCCTCCA